GTCTCGCAAGTCTGAGATGAACAACATGAAGCACGAACTACGACCGACCGCACCAGAATTCGTACCAAGAGGAGTGGGAGTGGTGGACAATGTGACACTGCGGCGCTCTACAGTCGTGGACGCGCAAGAGCCATCCACGGAAGGTGAAAACGACGGGGAGACACCAGAAGCTGAAAACCGTGGCGAGAGAGTGGAAGTTGAAAATGATGGAGAGGTAAGGGAAGAAGGAAACGATGAAGAAGCCGGAGAAGGAGGAAACGGCGACAGTCCATGTGACGTCGTAGACATCGAGCACCTAGGCGACCTGGTTACAGAGACACGGACAGATCCTGTACTGTGCCAGCTCACGCGCCACCTGAAAAAGCAGTCAGTGAAGACGGACAAGTTGACGCACAGCCAGCAATCAGAACTGGACTTCTACACCGGACTTTCAGGTTTGCAGCTACACAACGGCATAGTTCAGAGGATTTCGGAGGGACACCAGAGAGCGCAAGTGATCCTGCCGACAAGCGTCAGACAGAGAGCACTGCGTCTGGCTCACGACGTTCCGATGTCAGGGCACGGTGGCGTGAGGCGAACACTCCATCGTCTGACAACAGGCTTTTTCTGGTATAACATACAGCGCGAAGTACGACGTTACTGCGGAAGCTGCACGTCGTGTTTGAAGACGAAGCCGAAGTACACAAGCTGCAAAGAGGGAAGAGGAACAATTTCTGTAGAAGGCGAGCCATTCCTGCACTGGTCAGCAGATATCCTCGAGCTTCCGGAAAGTGACGCTGGTCACAAGTACGTACTGGTCATGACGGACCTCTTCAGCAAGTGGGTGGAAGTGTTTCCGTTGAAACGGCAGACTGCGGAAGAAATCGTGCACTGTGTGATGCAAGTGATCGGCCGCTTCGGGGTAATGAAGACCCTGTTGACCGATCAGGGCCGCAATTTTGAAGGAGCCCTCATGAAAGGAGTCTGTCACCTGCTGGGTGTCAAGAAGCTGAGAACAACTATATACCACCCATGCTGTAACGGACAGGCGGAGCGACTAAATCGGACACTGATGGAACTACTCACCCATTACGTGGCAGAAAACAAGCGCGACTGGGACCTGTGGCTACCTGTGGTAGCATCGGCGTACAACTCGGGATGTCACAGCGCGACGGGATTCTCACCAGCGGAGTTGGTGTACGGGAGACCAATGCGAACTGTTCTGGAAGACGAATTCGACGTGGAGAACATCAAGAACCAATCTCATCGTCAGTTTCTGGGAGAGCTGAAGAAGCGCCTGGAACACACGCATCAGAAAGCACTGGAACTGATCAGACAGAAGCAGAGTCTTCGCACCGACACGAGACCAGCAACGTTTCAGCCAGGAGATGCCGTGTGGTGTCGCAATTTTACAGCCGGAAAAGGAGTGCATGGGAAACTGAGACCGAAGTTTGAAGGACCCTACACAGTGGTGGAGGCACGACCACCAGACTACGTGATAAGGAAAGGTCGGAAACGCAGACTGATACACGGTTGTCACCTGAAGAAGGGGGAGAGTACAGCAGGCGAGCGAGAAATGTCAGTGCTGGAGATCGAGGAGAGACACGGCACTGGAAGGGACGACTATGCTGAAGCAAACGGACCAGATGTCGTCAGCGGAGAGACTGAGCTGGCGGCAACGACAGTGACTGGTGGAAGAGAAGAAGGTGTGGCTGAAGATGTTCAGTTGGATGAACCGAATATCGATGATCAGATACCGAAGAACGCGGTACAGCCGTCACGAGGAACGGATGACGCAGGGCTCAATCCGACGGAGCTGTTGGAACCAGTGGCGAGAGCAGCGCAAGACACGACGGTCGACGGGAAGACGTCAGCGCCAGACGAAACGCCGGACGAGGGAGCCGCTGACAATGTGAAGACCGACGAGACCAGTTCGACACAGGACGATTCGCTGGAGCCAGATGATCTCGCGAGGACGAGAGATGACCTGAACGAGACGGACGTCCGCATGATGACCTCAGCTGATGAGACGGTGCCGGAGGCTGCCGGGACAACGCGAACGAGGTATGGTCGTGAGGTGAGGAAACCATCGCGCTACCTCTAGCAAGAACCGTTTATGGGCTTAGTGCTTGGTTTTGAGTTAGGTATGTTTTAGTGTAAGTTGTGACTGAGGATGCTCGTGTTCCTGTGACGCGGTATTGTGGAATCGCTAGTTGTGCGGTATTTGATGTTCGCCCTATGTTTCTAGTTTAAGGGGAGGGGGATGTTAGGCACGGGCCTTGAAATGTAAACAAAAGGGGTAACCAATGAGCAGGCGTGAGACAGCCGAAACGGGTATTAGCGCAGTGATGATTGGTGCGGTAGTTAAACCAATGAGCGAGCGCGATGCATCTGAGGCGGCTGTGAGGAAGGCGGTCATTGGCGGTTGCGTACGGCTGGCCATAATGCGTGAACGCAGAAAATTGGCGCCAGATTGTTGAGAGCCGCGTGTTGAGGCGGGTTGCGCGAGGGTGGGCTCGCGGGGTATACCGACATGTGTTGAGAGAAATAGAGTTAAGAAGAGAAAAAGGTTTGTTTACGCTCGGCCAAGGATGAATGAAGGTTAGCACACACTAACAGATGCGACCAATAAAAACATGTTTCCTACACGAATACGAAAATTCATGCATAAATTTCTGGTCAGTGCACACTAAGGATGATGTCAATTTCACCGTTACTACGTAGTGTAATAAACAGCATGTTAGCCCGCGACCGCCTGGGGGGGGTCGGATCCGACCCCCCTCCGTTTTTCTTGAATAACTCATGAACCGCTTGCGCTATCAACTTGAAACTTCGCATACCTTCTCCCCCATCAATTTGACGTCTCCTGTGCAATTTTTAAGAAAAAAAAATTCAAAAATTTTTGAGATATATCGATTTTAGTGATGTAACTACATGGCGTTTTCAGTCAAAAAATGGTAAATGTTTAAAAAATCGCCAAAAATCGAGATTTCAAGCAAATTGCAAATTAAGGACATGAAAAGACGCAGCTCAACGAGTTCTTTAAAATGGCTATCTCGGATTTTCCATAAAATGCGTTTTTCACCCCTAAAAAATTTAAAAAACTATATTTTTTGGAAAACAGCTAATAAAATCCAAAATTTTGAGAATTTCCAAAAAACCGGAATATATGTTATAGAGCTCTGTTAGAACATTAGATGTCCCAAATTTCAACTTTCTATCTTGATTTTTGACCCCCAAATTGTAAAAAATAGCTCCAACATGCATAGGGCATGGTGACGTCATAAGCATTTTCGCGAATTAGAGGCACTTCTGAACATCGCATGTGAAAACAAATGGCACCACTAGATTCCTGGGACAAAGCTCGTCTAGAAAAGTGCATTTTTATGTCAAAAATAAAAAGTTGAAAAATTGACCTTTTTTCTCAGCCCTCGTTTAGTATAAACGATTTTTTATGCTTTCAATGTACACTTATCACCAGCACAGTGACTTGGGGTCACATATAACCATTACCATCGGATTTGGCGTGAAAAATAAGCCATAAAACATGTGTCGCACGCCCATGTAGCAGAAAGTGAAAACCGTGACCTTTCGTGACCTGACCTGACCTTGACCCGTACTTAGTATGACCCCTATACGCACATGGTACCTTCACTAGGTCTTTGAGGTCATTTGTGGTGAGTTTCGAGCAGCAGCTATCGATTCCGCTGTCCGTAAGCCTAATCATGCAAAACCCCTGAATTTGACCTTTGACCTGACCTTGACCCGAAAGTTGACCTCAATCTTAAAATCTTAAGAGTGCTTTGGGAAGGTCTCGTAGAGACCTTTCGAACGCCGCCTCGCGGGGCTCGATACGACCATTGGTTCTCGAGATAACAGGGGGGGTCGGATCCGACCCCCCCCCCCCCAGGCTGATGTGGGTACGGAAATAGCCCAGGTGGTGCCGGGTTAGTAACATGTTATTGCAAATAACATGCTATTTATTGCACTATGGTTACTATGGTTATTACACTATGTAGTGGATGCTAAAACCAAAATAAATTCCAACCAAATCACGAGAAAATAACTAAAACCGAACCGCCTTAAAAAAGAATATGATGCTCTGTATGATATGTAACCCTGTCTCCTCCAGGGCTGGTTGTGGGTATGACGCCTTGTTTGACCTTTATCTCTATCTTCCCCAGGGCTGGATGTGGGTATAATACCCTGTTTGACCCCCACCTCTATTTCCCCCAGGTCTGGGTGTGGGTATGATACCCTGTTTGACCTCTATCTCTATTTTCCCCAGGGCTGGGTGTGGGTATGACGCCATGTTTGACCTCTATCTCTATCTTCCCCAGGGCTGGGTGTGGGTATGACGCCCTGTTTGACCTCTATCTCTATCTTCCCCAGGTCGGGGTGTGGGTATGATACCCTGTTTGACCTCTATCTCTATCTTCCCCAGGTCTGGGTGTGGGTATGATACCCTGTTTGACCTCTATCTCTATCTTCCCCAGGCTAGGTGTGGGTATGACGCCATGTTTAACCTCTATCTCTATCTTCCCCAGGGCTAGGTGTGGGTATCACGCCTTGTTTGACCCCCACCTCTATTTTCCCCAGGTCTGGGTGTGGGTATGATACCCTGTTTGACCTCTATCTCTATCTTCCCCAGGTCTGGGTGTGGGTATGATACCCTGTTTGACCTCTATCTCTATTTTCCCCAGGGCTAGGTGTGGGTATGACGCCCTGTTTGACCTCTATCTCTATCTTCCCCAGGTCTGGGTGTGGGTATGATACCCTGTTTGACCTCTATCTCTATCTTCCCCAGGTCTGGGTGTGGGTATGACTATGATGCCCTGTTTGACCTCTATCTCTATTTTCCCCAGGGCTGGGTGTGGGTATGATGCCCTGTTTGACCTCCATCTCTATTTCCCCCAGGGCTGGGTGTGGATATGGCGCCCTGTTTGACCTCTATCTCTATTTCCCCCAGGGCTGGGTGTGGGTATGATACCCTGTTTGACCCCCACCTCTATTTTCCCCAGGGCTGGGCGTGGGTATGACACGAGACAGCTCGGCTCTGATGGTCGGTCAATACTTCAAGCGGCGTCGCGAGCTGGTGGAGATCTTTGTCGTCTCTGGCAGCGGGCTCGGCGTCACCGTGATGTCAGTCTTCGTCAACGGAACGGTGGGGTATGTGTACTTTGTTAGATTCTGAAGAAAAATAAATGTTTAATTCATCACAAATTTGTGTTGTAATCAGTTCGGTAGACTACCATTTGAAGAGCTACCATTTGAAGATAATGCGCCGGTTACTGGAGTAGTATATTTGCCAAAGAGTGGAATAACTTCATCACTTGTCTGTACGATGCGGTGACAACTGAAAACGCTCAGAAACATGGCGCTATTCGAACAGACCGGTATGCCCCTATTAGCTCTAATGGACTCTTAGTAAGTGCCTTTGTTGAACCTTTCCGACTAATCACATAGGTATCTATTTGCGACTTTTACTATATCCTTACCTGAGTTACCAGTTTGCCACAGTACAATCACGCACGGCTCACGCCCCTTTCTTACAGTAGCGCCGTTTGCCGATTTTTGCCTCTGATGAGCCCCACGCCTGTTGTCCTCTGTGTTTTCAGGTGGGCTGGCTGGCGGCTCGGCCTCCAGGCCGTCACCGGAGCCGTCTTCGTCACCTTCCTCTTGGGCACGTGCTACCGGTCGGCTTCCCTCTATCACCCCCAGAGGAGGGCCATCCTGCACCTCAAAAACCAAAAACGCAAGGTCAAAGACAAGAAGACGGCAAATAAAGTGGTAAAACCGATCAATAAGGTAATTATTGAGTTGTGTCGGCCGAGTTGTTGCAGTTCGATCCTTCATTCTAGCGATAATTTATCATAGTGAACTGATGATAAGATCACCAGTTCATCAGATCATAAGATAAGACCATCAGATCAGTATGATGATAAGACTGGATGAACTGATGATAAGATACCTAATAGTAGGTATTATCCCATCCATGGTGACACTTTATCCCATTTCTCACTGAAACTTTTTACGTCACTCTTTTTTAAATCGATATAGCGGCACATGTTTTTTATATCGACAAGCAATTCGGAAACAAGATGAGATTAGCGTTTTGTATGAATATGAAATATAGGTATAGTCAATTCATTTCGACAGTTCCACTTTCGAAGCAGGCCGCTTATGACTTCGTTCAAAGCAGTGACGTTTCAGTGAGCATTAACCATACCAAGGTGACCGAGTGTCAACAAACAACAGTGACTTATCGGTCGTCATCGTCTGCCCGCAGTCGGAGGACAAGCCGCCGTTTTTCGATCTGACCACGCTCAAGTCGCGGACGGTGCAGATTCTCCTGCTCTCCACGTCTCTGTCTTCGTTTGGTCTGAACACCCCTCTTGTCTACATTGTAAGTGACCACCGCTGCATCAATATTTCAGCGATATGGCATGGCGTTATCATATCATTACAGCGTTACTGGTATGCGACATTATCATAATACAGGGTGTTTGAGGGCTGTTAGATTCATCAAACACATTTGCACAAGTAATACATGAATCATGAAGGAATTCATACATCATGAAGTCATTTTAGTGAAATTGTTTGTCACTTGGTCGTTCCCATCTTAGTCCCAGACCTACCAGATCTTAGTCCCATACCCCCTCTCCACCGACAGGCGCACGAGGCGGAGCGAGACGGTGTGGAGGCCGGCTCCCTGGTGCTGCTGCAGACCTACCTGGGACTGGCCTGGGTGCTCGGCTGCGTCACCTTTGGCGCCGTGGTGGTGCAGAACAGCACAGAGTGCCGCATCGGCCGCCAGTACCTGTGCCAGGCCTCGGCGCTCCTCTGCGGCGTGTCCATACTCGGCTGCACGGCCGTCCGCGGCTACGGCGGCTACGTCCTCTTCGTCTGGGTGTACGGCCTCTTCTGCGGCGCCTACAGCTACAGCCTGAAGATGTTTGCGTACGAGAAAGTGCGCGCCCGAAATTTCGCCAGCACGTGGGGCTTCATTCAGTGCTCGCAGGCGATACCGATCGCACTGGGAGTGCCAATTGCAGGTGAGAGGGAGAGAGAGAGAGAGAGAGAGAGAGAGAGAGAGAGAGAGAGAGAGAGAGAGAGAGAGAGAGAGAGAGAGAGAGAGAGAGAGAGAGAGAGAGAGAGAGAGAGAGAGAGAGAGAGAGAGAGAGAGAGAGAGAGAGAGAGAGAAATGAGAGCCGGGGAGATGAGGGAGAGAGTAAGAGAACGGGAGAGAAGAGAGCGGATATATGGGATGAAATCCGCTAGACTGGTTCGTGATAAGAAATGACAGCTTATGACCACGGGGGTCGTTAACACGCATTACAAATTGCGATTAGCTAAATGATATCCGTCATTATACGTCTGCATGTCTAGTAGTAAACATGAACTATGAAGAATGGGAGGACGTATTTATTTATCCAGCAACTATGCTATCTGTTTCATTGAATTCGCAAACATTTGTTGTTCTCTGGAAGTTTGGACGTTCGTCATCGAGGCATTTTTTAAGCAAATATTTACATGTGACTCGTAACGTATGCACCTTTTTCTTTCTGTTCGTACTATACCTACGCTTCAAGTTTCTAACGTCCCTCTCCACGTTCGCAGGGTACATCAACGTCACGGCCGGCGGCAAGGCGGGCTTCTACTTCTCCAGCACGTTCGTCGTCATGGGCAGCCTGACCATCTCGCTGATCGACGTGCACCGGCGCCGGCGGCGGCAGCGGCACGCGCGCAAACACCACAAGACAAAGCGCGAGTGCAGCGAGGACTGCAAGAAGACGGAGCGCCGCTCGAGCCTTCCGGAGGAGGACGTTCCGCTGCCGATCGGGATCACGCTGCAGCCGAGCTTTATCATGGAGCTGCTGGACGCCAATCAGAAGGAGCTGACGTGTATCAGTGAGGAGGGCATCGCCGACATGGACATCCCCGACCACATCCTGGAGGAGCTGGAGATCTTCGGCGACATCACCACCTGCAACCAGGTGGAGAACTACCTCATGCTGAGCGAGTATGAGAACAACCTGAACGGGCAGGGCCACGAGCACGCCGACAAGAGGCGGAGGCGCTCTCTTCTGCAGACGACGGAAGATGGCAGGCATACGCTGCGAGAGTCGTGGAGGTATTTCCTGAACCGACACCGAAGCATCACCACCATAGACGAAGCGTCCGTGTGACCTGACCTTCCGTGACCTTGACCTTGGGGGGACTGTGAACGACCTGGGTCAAGGACAATCACGGGGTCATTTTAGGTGATGTGTGGTGTTGGACTCGGTGAATTGAAATGCGAAGTGTCGGAAAGTGTGTAATGCTGACAGCCAATGTAAACTGTTGCAGCTGGTATAACACGATGCCGAGACACTGAATATGCGGTGTTCCTGACTCATTGAAGTGACGTTCCATCCGCAACTTGTGACGTCAGCGGCCCTTCGCTATGACGTCACGCTAAGTCAGGCTTTCCGAACGGACTTCAGGTGCTTGGCTGCCAGGGGACATGTAACGTCATACGTTGGCATCTCAGCGACGAAAGGGGTGCCAAAACCCTACGATCTTCCTAGTCATCAGAATACTCGACGTTTGCGTGCTATATAGTATTACGTCATTCTGCGTTCTTGTTTATAAGAAAGGAACGGTGAGCATGCTGCGCGTTGACAGAGTGATAATGAATGTTTTGATGTATTTTAGTTGCTATAAATGAGGTATATATGTCACAAGGGAAGGTATATAATATTCATCACTGGTCATACATAAATGCATTCAAACATACATCATCTTATTAGCGTAACTTAACCGCAGGTTGTTTGAAAAGACAAACACTATTCGTTAGAATTGTGTTTTTCTATTGAAAAACAACCGGAGCGGTCCTTCTCCGGGCTATGTTTGCAAAGTTGGCCTGAGATTGGGGCAACTTGGTCGCAGCCTAGAGTTTTGCGTTTAGGATCGTAAAAATTTCAGGGTATAGACTTTTGCAGGTGATCTACCTGATGGTACCGGTCGCTACTCGCAACAAAAATCATTGCGCGTGCCACGTGCAATTGCATTTTCCCCATGTTAAGTCAACGGGGTTTTGGACACTTTTTGCGCGATCGCCAATGGCGGGAAAACGAGCCAAGAAGGAGGTGGTTTTCTTCCCAGCATTTTATGGCAAACACGTTCTGGTACACGCCAGTGTGCGCCGTATACCCGTCAGAATTCGTTAACTTGAGTTGCACGAGTTTGAAGTCGAACTTTTTTCGCTCCCCATGTTAAGTCAATGGGCGTTTTTGCAGAGGCATTTTCATTCGCTCATTGTACAAAATTATATGATACGATTTTGTTTAAACTTTCAGGACTTGTTGAGAAAAGACCATAGAATATGTTGTTATGCTTCGTTAAGCTGTCAGAATTCGTTTGCTCTTTTGAAGCTCGTTTAAAAATGAAAAATTTTAACATGGAAAGTCAATGGGAGCGTCTTTGCTGCTTAATAACTTTTTACGTTTAAGATATGTTTAAGTCAAAAGTTGATATTTTATACAACTTTTGATGCTCTTTCCAATGATATATACAACGTTATTGCACGTGCTGCCGTTTTTGAGAAATTTCGTAAAAAAGCACGACATTACCGAGATTTGAGCTCAGACCTATATCGTTACGGTGCCGCCAGGCGGACACGAGGACAGGTGGCGCCGCCGCCGCCAGCATAGCGGCGGGAATGTGAACTAACCTGTTTACCATCTATGGTATGGGGGACCATCGGGGGACCGGCCGCCGTCGGCACCATTTCGGGCTTAGTTTTGACTTTGCATCGCAATAAAAGGCTTATTTACAATTGAAAATGGACTAGCGAGAGTCGTTTTGGAATCAGAATTTGATGCTCTACAAAACTAGGCTATTTTCATTGTGATGGCATCACAGACTACACCGCTAACCCCAATAAAGCAGATTTATGTCGCGTCATCGATGATTACATGTAATGTTTCTTTGGTATATATGTTTGTAGTCGGGTCTTTCAGCTGCCTCCCTCTCCTCCCTCGCCGCGCCGGCGGGTCGGCCATCCGCGGCTTGCCGCCCGCCGGCTGCTGGCCGGTCAGCTGGCCGGTCAGGTGCAGTGCGGGATGCCTACTTGCGGGGGGCCGTCGTGGCGGCGGCCCGGGTGGACTGGGCGAGCAGTGAGTTGGGGAGCGCTGCGCTGTCTGGTGCTCTAGTTTGTATTGCGCTCGCATGATACGGCTTGAGCCAATACAGAGTGAACTGATTGAGCTGAGCAAGTCTTTATATACATTGAAGAGTAAAGCACTTTTTACTGCATCTACGGTGAGATGCTAGAGAAAATTTATGGCCTACCTAATGGTACCCATTACTTAACAATTAAGTGAATCATTTCGTCGCTAAACTCTCGTAAATTCGTATGTCCGCCTCACTATGGAGTTTGGACCGTAACGTATGGCCTTTGCTCAGACAGTATACGAACAGGTGACGGGGATACCTCCCATAGAAGGATGCGACACGATTTTACTGCTAAATAGCGGCCGGCCGCCGTGGGGAGTCTGGGGACGTTTTTGTACGACTTATATCTCGGCAAGCACGGGCTGATACACTTACGGTTTTTGTGTGGGGTAGCTTTTTCCCTTCTGTCATATAGTGTGCTACTCTCGATGCATATGGGTGACCCCTAACGCACGTTCCACGTGCAAAGCCAAGAGGTGCCTGTTTTGTAATAAGCGCAATAGCTCGGTAATTACTGGGCCGATTGCGCTAAAACTTGGCATGGAGGTAGACACTTTCCAGGCGATGCATTTCCATGTGTCACGGTTGGGGTGCCGCTGCACGTGCGCACGGGCAGGGTGACGATTCCAGATCTCGAGAACGGCTGGGCCGATTGTGATCAAAGTTGGCACACCGTTAGGGCTCGGCGAGTAGGGTGCCGTGCACAAGTCAGATGGGACCCAGTTTGCACGTGCGCACGTGCAGGCTGACGCTTCCATATCTCAAGAACGGCTGGACCGACTGTGCTCAAATTTGGCATACCACTAGAGACTGGTTAGTAGGGTGCCGTGCACAAGTCAGTAAGTATGTATTTTCATGTGCCGCGGTTGGGGTGCAGCTGCACGTGCGCACCTGTAGGGGTCGCTTCCAGATCTTGGAAACTAGTGTCGTGCACGTCGGTTCGTAGCACACCCACTCGGGTCTGCACGTGCAAGGCTCGTCCTCCGTTTGGCGGCGGGCGTTTTTGCTGCGTGCACGGGTGAGTGGGTTACAGAGGTTAGAGTGCAGTGCACGTCAGTTCGTAGCACACCCACTCTGGTCTGCACGTGCAAGGCTCATCCTCTCGTTTGGCGGCGGGTGTTTTGGCGGCGTTACAGAGGTGCTTGCTCAAACAACCTGCGGTCCCGCGATGCGGAGCCCAGCATCGCAGATGCTGGGCTCCGCATCGGAAAACAACCGGAGCGGAAAACATAGCCCGGAAAACAACCGGAGCGGTCGTTCTCCGGGCTATGTTTTGCAAGTCTGGCCGCGAATCAGTACAACTTGGTCGCAGCCTAGACGAATCGCTCAATCTCCGTAAAAATTTCAGTGTATGGGCTCTCGGGGGCGATCTACCTGATGGCATTAGTCGCTACTCGCTTAAAATCTCGTGGCACGTGGCACGTGCGATTCCATTTTTTCCATAGTAAGTCAATGGGGTTTTGGGGCACTTTTTGTGCGATCGCGAATAGCGGGAAAACGAGCCAAGGGAGAGGTGGTTTTCTTCCCAGCATTTTATGGGAAACACGTTCCGGTACACGCCAGTGTGCGCCGTACACCCCTTAGAAGTTCGTAACGTGTCTTTGCTCGAGGTCAAAGTTGAACTTTTTTCGCTCCCCATGTTAAGTCAATGGGCGCTTTTGCAGAGACATTTTCATTTGTTCATTGTACAAAACTATATGATACGATTTTGTTTAAACTGTCAGGACCTGTTGAGAAACGACCATAGAACATGTTGTTATGCTTCGTTAAGCTCTCAGAATTCGTTTGGTCTTTTTAAGCTCGTTTAGAAATGAAAAATTTTAACATGGAAAGTCAATGGGGTAACCGCAGGTTGTTTGAAAAGACAAACACTATTCGTTAGAATTGTGTTTTTCTATTGAAAAACAACCGGAGCGGTCGTTCTCCGGGCTATGTTTTGCAAGTCTGGCAGCGAATCGAGACATCTTGATTGGGGCCTAGACGAAATGTACAATCTTCGTAAAAAGTTCAGTGTATAGGCTCCCGGAGGCGATCTACCTTATGGCATCGGTCGCTACTCGCTTAAAACCTCGTGGCACGTGGCACGTGCGATTCCATTTTCCCCGTGTTAAGTGAACGGGGTTTTGGACACTTTTTGCGCGATCGCCAATAGCGGGAAAACGAGCCAAGGAAGAGGTGGTTTTCTTCCCAGCATTTTATGGCAAACACGTTTGGGTACACGCTAGTGTGCGCTGTATACCCCTCAGAATCTCGGAACGTGTCTTTGCACGAGGTCAAAGTTGGAATTTTGCTGTGTCCCATGTTAAGTCAATGGACGGCGATGTCGAGACTTTGCAGAGACATTTTCATTCGATCTTTGTACAAAATTTTAGAGATAGATTTCGCCCAAACTCTTATATCTTGTAAAGGAAAGAGCATAGTACATGCCGTTATGCTTCGTTAAGCTGGCAGAAATCGTTTTTTTCTAATAAAGTTCGTTTGAAAATGAAAATTTTTAACATGGAAAGTCAATGGGAGCGTCTTTGTTGCTTAATAACTTTTTACGTTACAGATATATCAAAGTGAAAAGTTAATAAAACATACAACTTTCGATGCTCTTTCCAATAATGTATAGAACGTCACTGCACGATGTGCCGTTTTTAAGAAAAGTTGTAAAAAAGCAGGGCTCGACTGTGACTTGAACCCAACCACATTAGAGTATACGAATAGGTGACGGCGATACCTCCCGTGTGCGGATGCGACACTGATTATTGCTAAATATTAGCAGTAGGCCGCCTGTGGGGTGCCTGTACAAACCTTATATCTCTGCAACCACTGGACCGATTCACTCGCGGTCTTTTGTGTGGGATAGCTCCTTCCTTTCTTACACGTAGTGTGCTACTCTCGATGCGTATGGGTGACCCCTAATGCACGTGCCACGTGCAAAACGAAAAGAAGTCAGTTCAGTAACAAGTCTAATAACTCTGTAGTTAGTTTGCCGATTGCGCTGATACTTGGCATGGTTGTAGGCACCCGCCGCGCAATGCATTTCCATGTGTCACGGTTGGGGTGCCGCTGCACGTGCGCACGGGCAGGGTGACGCTTCCAGATCTCGAGAACGACTGGGCCGATTGTGATCAAAGTTGGCACACCGTTAGGGCTCGGCGAGTAGGGTGCCGTGCACAAGTCAGATGGGACCCAGTTTGCACGTGCGCACGTGCAGGCTGACGCTTCCATATCTCAAGAACGGTTGGACCGACTGTGCTCAAATTTGGCATACCACTAGAGACTAGTTAGTAGGGTGCCGTGCACAAGTCAGTAAGTATGTATTTTCATGTGCCGCGGTTGGGGTGCAGCTGCACGTGCGCACGTGTAGGGGTCGTTTCCCGATCTTGGAAACGGCTGGGCCGATTCAGATTAAATTTGGTACATCGCTAGAAACCGGCGAATAGAGTGCCGTGCACAAGTCAATTAGGGCCCAGGCTGCACGTGCGCACGTGCAGGGTCACGCTTCCAGATCTCGAAAACGGCCGGGTCGATTGCACTCAAATTTGGCACACCGCTATAGACCGGCGAATAGGGTGCCGTGCACGTCAGTCCGTAGCACACCGACTCCGGTCTGCACGTGCAAGGCTCATCCTCTCGTTTGGCGGCGGGCGTTTTTGCTGCGTTTCCAAAGGTGCTTGCTCAAACAACCTGCGGTCCAGCGATGCGGAGCCCAGCATCGCAGATGCTGGTAACCGCAGGTTGTTTGAAAAGACAAACACTATT